CATAAGGTAACAGTTAACTCTTATGTTGTTGCAAAACTAGAGCCATTGCAAGAGTAGTAGTGGAGTGTCTAGGTCTTTGATACTGGTCTTATTAACAATAAACTTAGCTTAAGTAGACTGTACAGTTGTATGAATTTGTAAGTGTTGTGTGAACAACTAGTGAGGTTTCAAACTTGTAATTGTAGTTGAATAGTATTTTCCTTGTATTTTCTTGTGAACCATGTTTAATGGTTTTACCTCAAATCAGAAAACAAAATGAAGTGCTTTGGTCAGTTAATAAAATGGTTTTACCCAATATATTGTGGTGAGTTTTTTGTGTTTTTTTTTTAACAATCTCAGGAACCGGATTAAATCATTTAATGTTAGCTAAATTCTAAGAGTTTAGCTTTTGAGTAGATTTTTTTTTTTGTATTCCAAAAGAAACAAGTAAATGGGGAAAACATCATAGAACTCTCCTACCACAAACTCTATACCAGCTGTTAGAAATGGGGATTAAGCCCTGACTAGTGTGGCTAGGTTGGGTTGGGGGCATTGTCCTGTAAAGCGAAGGGATGGTCATTGGTTCAATTCCTGGTCAATGCACATGCCGGAGTTGTGGGTTCAGTCCCCAGTGGGGGTGCATATGAGAGGCAGAGAGGCCACAGATAAATGATTTTCTTTCACATTGATGTTCCTCCCTTGCTCTCTAAAAATAAAATGGATTCAATTGAGTTTTTGTGACTTGTCAAATCCTGCCTCTTTAAATCAGAACTTTTCTTTTTTTTTATTTTATTTTAATCATTGTTCAAATACAGTTTTCTCCTTTTTACTCCCAATCCAGCCCCCCTCCCACCCCTCCCCACTTCCCTCCCATTACCACCCTCCCCCTAGTTTTTGACCATGTGTCCTTTAAGTTTGTTCCCGTGAACCCTTCCCAATGTCCCCTGAAAATCAGAACTTTTCTAAACTCAAACACAGACCTCCATTTAGGTCCATATGTAGCAAGGGATATAAAGGAAATTTTATCACTGGCTGGGTGGCTCGTTTGGGGCATTCCCTACACACCAAAACATTGTGGGTTCAATTCCCTGTCAGGCATGTACGGGAGGCAACTAATCAATATTTCTCATGTTGATGTTTCTGTATCTCTCTTCCTCTCTAAAATCAATGAGGATTTTAAAAGCTTTTTAAAAGGATAATTTTACTGAAGGCATTGTTGCTAAGCGCCAAGGCATAGTTTTGTTTTAATGCACCATCTGATCAGGAAGGTAGTCAGGAATCCTTACAGTAGCAAAGTTAGTTCACTTCATGTCAAAAGGGGGATATCAGATTTGCATATACAGTCAGTTGTATAAACACAGACAACCAATTACTCTGAATATTAGTGCTTTTCCCTTTTAATGTTGGCAGTTTTATTCCAAGATATGTACTTCCTGAACCAAAGCAGGCTCACCGCTTTGCATGTTTTATGTTGTTAAACCATATTATTACCTGGTTTTGTTTTTAAATGTGCTTTCCCCAACTAGGTTTCAGTCAACAAATAATCGAGTTGCCTATTATGTTCCAGACAACCTGTTATACCTCCATATGCTTTGGGGAAGGGGCAGGAAAGAAAAGACCTTGGGCCACATTTGCAACCTGAAATCTCTTTTAGATGTTAAGATTAGGCTACTCCTTTTACAAAGTTAAACAGGTTTGTCTGAGGTCAAGAGGAAAACATCCAGAGCCTGGTTAAAGCTTCAATCCCAAATAACCTGATTTTCCTCCATTCAGAATTAAATGAACACCGTTTGATCACATGTGAGGATATTACCATAAGGCAGTACTAGTCTAAAAACTTCACAAATCCAGCTCACTTACTCATAAGCCATTTTATGTAAAAGGCTCTATTCAAGATGAGGGAACCACCATAGGCCAGTGGGGAAAAGGTCAGGTGAACATGTTTGCTCTACCTGCTTTCGTCAAACTCGTGCAGAGACACTGTTCTCAGTACCAGTGTCTCTGGTTCCTAAGCAGCATTCTTTAAGTGTTTTCAGTATCTATCCAAATCTGCAACTTCTCTGCATTATGTCACATGCACCTTACCTAGGAGGGCCAAATTTACGCAAATCTGAGATCCAACAAAAATCCATACAGCCTTTTCTGTCTCAGAAGGAGTTCTTTGAACCCAACAAGGACCCTTTCACTTCTCAAGTGCCCAGGTTGAACTCTAAGTCATAGTCTGCCTTCCTTATATAGATAATACTAAGAGGCAGTTTGCTATACATTTCATGTCAAAATACAGTTAACTCATGAATGGACAAAGAGGGATTACTGAGGCCCCTAACTTCTCAGACTAGACTCCATACCCCACAGCCACACTTGTTTGAGGGCATTGCATAACTTTAACACTTCCACCAAGGGCTGAAGGGATGAAATGAGCTACCGTGGAGTCCATTTCTTACTCTTCTTCCATAGCACTGATAAAACCTTGACTGAAGGGAGAAGAGTCAAAAATCCCCATATCATGATTTCAACTTATCCAGAATAAAGCTGTGGTTTTGTCATCTCTGAGAGTCAAGTCCCATAAACTAGCATCATAAAGGGAAAAGTTGCAAAGAAACAACACATGTATATTTTCCAAGAAAATGTTATTATAGATATCAAACATTCCAGCCAATAGTATGGTGAATGAACCAAGACTCTATTCACTATGACAATTTTATTTTTAATTTATCTAAAAATTAAACATGTATTATTTCTCTAACAACACAAATGAGAAAAAGGATCAGCAACATTAAGTGCAAGGCAGCATACTATAGGTAGAAACTTACCCCCCATGTTGGAATCATGAGCATTTATGTAAAAGTTAACATTTTTAAACTGTCTTGCAACAAATACATTTATTTGGTTGTTATTTTCAAAACTACCAATGTGCATTCTACCTGAGAAATTCAAACAAATTGAACAAAAACACATGGACAAATTTTGAGCTTTCTTAAAACCCTATCTGTGGCACATACAAGGAAAAACATGAGAACACTTATTTAAAATGACAGTTTAAAGTTCAGGACTTACTTAATAGGACATAGAAAAAAGACATGAAAAAATACTTTTGCCCCAGTTAATTAAATAATAGTGCAGCAAAGAACAATGTTAATTAATAGAAAGTGATAACAATATTTTCAATTCTATTTCATTCCTTGCTAAGCCATTCAGTTGAAAAGTTCAATGATTCTTTCTCATTTAAGTCCTACTCAAAAAAAGAGGTTTACTGAAATCTAGAATGTGTTACCAGAAAACATAAAAATCCAAGATTGTATAGAAAGTAAACATAAAAGCAGTATTTTTACTTTCTTTTAGGTCCCAGGGTGGTATGTAGCTAGCAAACAAAACAAAACAAGACAAAAACAGTACATAGACGAAACTTAGCACCAGTTATATTGTACAAAAAAAAATGCACATGTTGTTTTAGGCAATTTATTTTTTATTCTTTTATGTCTTTATGAGCAGCAAATTGTTTCTATGACTGAAATCCCAACAAAGAAAAAATTATCACATAACAAGAATTTGAGGTTTTTTTCAAAACAAGCACAGCTGCTTCCCATAACATTCTTTGCTTTAATGGCATGAAACACAAAAAAATAAGGAGGCAGAGTACCAGTGGAGGAAAATAATGTCTAGTTTCTGATAGCTGTCTGACAAAATACAAGTCGTTAGTAGTTTAAAAGCTGCTTGGACAACAGTACTTTGAACATTAATAGTCATTGCTAGTCTTGAAAGAGAAAAGGCATTTGCCTGCATTAGCAATTTTTCAGATTTGACAAGCCAAACTTAGTTTTGATGGCAGTCACTGGCTTGAAAGTGGAACTGAAGACAAGAGAGCCAACAAATCATTTGTTGGTTATTATCTTAATAGTAAACATAATCTGCTTTGTTACATTTATTTCTGAACTTTTGCATATACTAGCATACGTCTGTTGAATATGATTAGAAGAGATCAATGAAACAAACAATGGCTCTTGCTTTAGATGAATTACAAGATTGTGTAGCCCCCTCAGGTATCAGGTTGCTCAAGAGGCTGGTTATGAACACACATTGTGCCTCATCATTCTGGGCAACCACAGTGACTGGCATTCTACCTCGGCTTTACCAGCTGGTACTTTTCTATCATGTTAAGACTATTGGAAATAAATCATGGGATATGAAAATGTTGCCTTCCAATACTTCTGTGAATTAAAACCACCTTTTCCTGCTGATGATTGTCTAATCCCATTGATGTCTTCCATTGATTGCCAAGTCAGGTATAGCTTTGTTAGGGAAAAAAGGTCATCTGCTGCCCCTGAGGTCCTAAATCCAATATAAGACAGAATGAATCAGCCAAGCTTTCAATAGAACATGCACTGAATTAAGATGAAGTCTTTACAAATCTATAAAATATTTCAATTTAAAAACATATTCAAGAAGTCCAAAACAAGTAAGTAAAAAGATAAAGTGTTTAAGAGTTTAGAAATCCTGCACATATACGACTTGCCCTGGCCAGAAAACTATGGGCATTGTCATCGACTCTTCCTAACCCCATGGCATTATTGAGTATTGAGGAGGCACTTGTTACTGTTTAATAAAAGTCATATTGGAGATATTCAGTGTTTTTTTACAAACTGATATCACCCAATCCTGAGTGAAAGGATTAGATAACCTGAAATGGAATACTGTCATCTCCTCTCTTCCCAAGTGCCGTTATTGGTGCCCAAGGATCTTTCAATGTTTCTTTTTGCAAATACCCCTGGTGTATCACTTCAATCCTGTTGCCTTTCTAGGCTGGAATGACATGAGGTTCTTCAAAAAAACTCTGCTAATTGTCCACTGTCCCTCAAAGGGCTGTCTGAGCCTCTTTTAGATTCTCCTTCCAAGACTTTGTTTCTAAAAGGACAATTCCTTGAGTAGTATGAACATATTAATAAGATTAATTTCTTTCTAATGGATACTCATGAAACCCTCTCATGTCATGAAGAAGTCTATGTTCTAGCCATTGTCTCATTTCTTTTATCTAGAGTTGTTTCTAGATAGATGAAAATGAGGAAATTTTATTGTACATGGTGTTCTGACCAAATCAAAGAACATGTAAAAAGATCCTTATCCAATGTTGCCCTTTTTGAAAATAAATGGTGCTAAATGATGACCTTATGGACAGCTAAAGGGCAAAAGAGGCTTTATCTCAATACTTCTCAATGTTAATTTGCTCCTTCACTGGCACCAAATTATATTTGCAGTTGAACTGTAGAAATGTTGGTTTGGGGATGAAGAACTTTTGGAAGTACTTTGCTTTACTGAGCTTCAGAAACTGGATGTTTTGTATTCCTAAAGCTTGCCAATACAACTGTAGTGATTTTGACCTATATTTTATAGTTTGACAAGAGAAATAAGGTTTTTCATTTGACCTTGCTCAAGCTTTTAAATGTTGCTCTCTAGATCTTGTTGCTAACTACATAGCTATATTTAATTTTAAATGCTCTTCTTGCAAATCGTTTATTGTGAATAAGGGTGTTCCTGATCTAAGAGACCTTCAAAACATTTGAAAATATATAGAGCTAGTGTAGTTTTTTCCTAAAGTATAGCTTCCACAGTCAATGTGCTCCTGACTGTTACGTCTATTAGGATAGTTATCCAAAGTCGGCATGAACTCTGTGGAATTCGCATGTCTTTTAAACATTCTTACACCCTGGTTATATTCTGACTTCTGCAGAAACTCTCTTTGAGGAAAACACCTTGAACAGAAAGCATTAGCACATTGTGATGATGTTGTTGGCACATAAAAGGGCCTGTAGTTAATTTTCTGGCCAAATGTATTATCACTAAACTTACTCTTCTTTCTTGTGCTGTCATCTAACACGTCACTGGAACTGGATTTGTGGAAGTTGCCCTGATAAAACAAGTATTTGGGAGCTGGCTTTTCCTCCTTTTTGCTGTTACTGTTCTTGGCTCGCATGGAATTGTTTTCATCCTCAAGCCACAAACATCTCTGTTCATATTTGGACCTCTTACTGGGTTTCCCAAGTTGGTACTCAGAGAATTTTTCCTCCCCAGAATGTTTCCACTTTGAATACAAGGTAGGCTGACTTGATCTAATTTGTTGATTGTAAGTGATGACTTCATCAGTATCAAGAGATCCTCCTTCTAGGGTACTTTCATATGTGGCCACAGATTTCTCTTTCTCTTCTTTGTTTATGGAAAGGGTTTCACTGAACCATTCAGAATCACTACTAATTTCCTCTAAGAAATCTGTGAACTCCAGCTTCAAGTTTTCTGACCTTTTGAATGATGAAACTTGACTTTGACTTCCGGATTTGGAATCTCTGACCTGGTAAGCATAGGTCTTTTCCAACAGGTAGCCTTTTCCATCAGTTGGGGTCAGCTGATCATGAGCTTCACTGACTGTATCCTTGTAATGATTTTTAAACTCTTTAGAACATTCTTTGGCATAATCGACTTTTGCTCTTTTTTGTGGTTTATGCGCAAGATCCCGAGTATGACTATTTGCCCAGTAATCATCTTCTTGAACCTGTTCTCTCCTTTGCAGCTTTTGTGTTTGGCTCAACATGGTTGAGTGACAATTACACTTTCTCAAATTGACTTGAAATCCATTTCCCTTAGCATAAACAGACCTCTGCCACTGACATGTGCTTGTTGGGTGACTTGGTTCTAGGCAGATAGAGGGATATTCTGGAGTCTGATAATAATGGTTTAATGAAAAGTCAATAAAGTCATATGTTTCATAGATTTTATCTTTTCTGTCATGGTCTCTCTCAGAAAATTTGGAATGATAGTATTCATTAGAATTGAGGTGGTCTTCTTTCTCAAGAGGTTGATCTTTAATTAACAAAATTTGCGAGGTTTTCTGGTCAGAGACACTGTGATTGTATTCATTGGTTAATGATTTTCCCGTTTTCTCTTTTCTAACAGAATATTCTCTTTTTTTCCTCCAGTGGTAGTGGGAAGATTTATGTAACTGAGGTCTTTTCTTTTTTTCTGGTTTTCGTTCATTTGTAACTTGATATCTGGGCATTTCCTCCTGATTTTGAAGATACTGAATATTTAACTCTTCTTTCTTCAGAGTTTCCAATGTGTTCCCCAGACCATACTTAGCTTTACAGCCTGCAAGTTCTACTTCCTGTGGGTTAAACTGTGTGGATTCCTTAAAAAAAAAAAAGGTTAAAAATCTGACATAAAAAACTAAACAAATTAAAAACTTCAAAGAATACTGCAATTTCTGACATTGTTGTAAGAGGTTTCTAATAACACACAGCATAGATTCAAATTAGGAAGAATATTGCACTGAGGAAACAGAAGATACAAAACTAAATGTCTCCATCTAATATGAGCTGCTTTTACTAGGTCTGTGCCCATCCTTATGTTACAAGGCACCATGGTTTACATACCTTCAAAGCACATGACCCTTTTTTATTTGTTCACAAACTGGGGACATGAAGAAGAATAAGAAATGGTCTATAGCCCTCTCAGAAAACTCTAAAACAAGAAAAGACTGGAGGGTAAAATGTGGGTTTGCAAGACAGTCAACTGGCTTAAAAGATAACCCGTCTTTTTGTTTTTCATTCTGGCTTCTGCCTATGGATCGCAGGTCAGGGTGTCTCTGCCCACCCTCAGTCAGAGACAACACAGCAAGTAAAAATGGCAGTGGTTCTGTCTGTGATGCTATATGTTCTACACAACCACAGGGCAGGTGAAAAGTGTTGCTCACAGTCCCACCCTGCTGGAAGAGTTTGAAACATACTTCTATTGACACATGGTGCAAATCAGGGTACAGTGCTTACCCATTACCTGTGGTTAGAATGTGAAGACTGTGTAATCAATATAAGGTATCAATGGGACCAAGAATTAAGCATCACACATATTTAAATAGATAAATTCTTTAAAAGGAGTCACCCTTGGTAGTCATTAAACTAAAAAAGATCCAGGTAGCCTTATTATAAATGAAAATGTAATATTTTTCTGATCCTGATTTCACTGTTTGTCCACACTAATGAGAAAAAGACTGAGGCTACAAATACACATTAAATGAGCTCTGTCTACTAATGTCATTTACTCTTTGTACAGTATTTAAGAAACACTGAATATGGATTTTTAAGTGATCAGTTTGAAAGCCTTTCTGACCTTTACTTGGGAACATCTGCTGAGTCTGGTTATCTTTAGGAGGTCAGTAAGTGGGGTAAAAAAACTTCTAAAATTGGAACTTTCCAAACAAAACAATTGCTTTGCAATGTAAAAAATTCCTTAGCAAATACTCAAAGACTAGACTAATGTGAGCTTGCTACACAAAGTTTTCTGTTCAAAGCTCTTCCTTCTTATTCAAATCTGATGCAGAAAATGGACAAGTAAACTTAATGGAAGACTACAAAACTAACACCCACACTATCCATTTCTTCCTCCTGGTATTTTTCTGTTACATCCATTGGGAATTTAGAAAAGTAAATATGCTAGCCATAACACCCTGGGTAAAACCAGCCTGAAGTTTAGCAGTACAAAGTGTGTGTGACAGATGGCAAAAGTGAGACATAAGTCCTTGAGAAAATTTGGGTACCTGTAATGTAAACCCACAATTGGGGTTATTAGAGATCAATGAGCCTATTGAAAATAAACCCCAATGAATGCAATGTGTCTTCCATGGAATCGATTTTAAATAGGTGACTGCTTAACTGAAAGAGTTGTGTCTCAGAAAGAAAATGAACAATGAACAAATGGGAAAGAGCCTTACTGCAATTTTTCTCAGGAGCACCAGTAGCAACCAAAAGGCCTCCACCCGCCTCTGAGCCAGAAGGGACTTCCTCTCCTCACACTCCTTTGAAGAGTTGGGCTCCCGAGTCGCCTCAGCTTTGGCTCTGTCCCGCTTCCTTTGCCGATGTCTGTCCCTTTCCTTCAGGGCTCGCCTCCTGACCCTGGCCTTCTTCCACTTTTCCTGGGCTTTCCTCTCCTCCTCCTTTCTTTTTCTGGACAATGATTAAAGGTCAACCATTCAGAAGGTATTTATTCAGCATTTGCTCTCTACCCCACTCTTTCACCACTGTGGGTGGGGAGAGTCAGAAGACAACATGGACAAACAATTGATTATTGAGGTTTCCAGGAATCTTTCACTGGTCACCCCAAGGCCTGACAGAGACAACTCAGGATAAAAACACTGTGACATGTCCATCAAAGGAGAAAGACACATGATTCAGTTGATCAATTAGAAGCATGTACAGGAAACCTTACACAGAGAATTTCAAAAAAAGACTACAGAGTTCAAAGGAGGGGTCTCTAGCCCCCACTTTCTCAAACCACAAGGAGGGACTACTGGAGCTGCTTTCACAATGATGATTTCAGTTTTTCTTGAGATCAAAACCTTCCATGAGCTGGTTTCACGTAGGCAAATAAAGGTTAAGTCAAGGCACTCAGAAAATCTTAAGTGTGAGAACTGGTCCTTTGTGCATATCATACAACACAGTACACCATCATAAAAACATGCTGGCTTAGAAGAATATGGGCTTTTTCTTTACTGCTGTTTTCTGAAAATTTAAACTGTTTTGGTTAAGCCCTTATGGAAACATGGAAAGACCAAAAAGGGACAATTATCTGAGTAAGAACTTAGCCAAAAGTCAGAGGATTATCTCAACTGCATGTTCAGCCCAGAAATTTGAGTAGGGGGAATAGTTACATGGACTAGGCATAACTTCTGGCCAAGTTTCACAGACATGACCTCAAGTAACTTCTATCACCTTGCCAGCTAAAGAAATGAGAGGCAAAACAAGGAAGACTACTCTTTACCTCCCTTCTTGAATGGCTGTAATTTACATGAAAATTTGGAAGAATAAACATGCAAGTGGAGGGGCCAGGAGGTAAAACTGGTTTTCAGAGTCCTGAAGGCCCATTTGTACCTTCTTGGAAAACCTTTGACAATCCAATAGCCTTTTCTAGTCTCAAGCCCCTAAATTGGGAAACAATGATACGCTCAAAAAAATAAAGGTGCAGTCTCACCCTGGCTGGCGTTGCTCAGTGGATTGAGCGCGGGCTGCGAAGCAAAGTGTCGCAGGTTCGATTCCCAGTCAGGGTACATGCCTGGGTTGCAGGCCACGGCCCCCAGCAACCGCACATTGATATTTCTCTCTCTTTCTTTCTCCTTTCCTTCCCTCTCTAAAAAATGGATACATAAAATCTTTAAAAAAAATAAAGGTGGAGTCTCTTTAAATTCACAGAAAGAATTTAGGCCAACAAGAAAAATAGTCCCCAAAAAATCAATCCATGCTTTCTTGCCTATGAGTTAGTTTTGAATATTGACCAACCTATGGAAGAAAACCTTTTCTAGAACTGAAAAGAGGGTTTAATAAAAACATTTTACATTGGTAGGCTATGTAAAAGTTGGCAAATTTTAGGTAAATGGGTGAATTTTAAACATTTGGGAGGCTAGAATTTTCAATATAAAAGTTCCTGGTCCTTTTTTTAAATCACTTTCTAGACAGCTTAATCTGGCTAGTACCATTAGTTTTCATTACTTGTTCTCCCTAACAAGGACACTTTCTTTTAAAGTCTCTTGTTTTCAACTGTTTTTTGTCATTTTGGTTTTGTAACAGCACAGTTGAAAGACTTTCAGGCTTTCAGGGAGTTCTCCAATCTGAACCAATTCCTGCCCTCCTCCCCACATCCACGCAATCTATCAAGTGTAGCCATTCACTCAGAGGGATAAATCCATAAATCAAAAGTTAAAAAAAACCCTCTTGTTAAAGTTGGTCTCCTTACCTTTCAGCTTCTTCTTCTTCTCTCTTCTTTTCTTTTCTCCTTTCTTCCTCCAGTTCTTGTAATTTTAGCCTTTCTTGATTTCTCCTCCTTATAGCTCCTTCACTGAAGTGTTTGGTTGTATCAAACGTAACCTGCCCCCAGATATTTCAGTTTCATTAGACAAGTTTGCCAGTGTATCTCAGGCCAGAGAAATAAAACTAACATGGGCACAGTCAATTCACAACCAAGTAAATGAAAAATGTTCTCCCTGTATCCCAGTACCCATACTGTTCAACTGCTTCTCGGTAGCTTCCAAACAGTCCTGTGGGCTTCAGAAATTTCTTTGGCAGAACCTTGAGGAGCTTACATCACAGTCATAGGTGACATCATAATGCCATTACAGGCACAGGTTCTGATAGGTGCAAGCTGGGCAGTGGTATATGGGTGGCCATTATAGTGTGTGCCATATCTTTTGCCTGACTGAATAGCTCCTAATTTTAAAATTACATTTTAACATAAGTAGCTCCACACATAACACACATATGCACACTCATACGTAGGAAGCTACTAAAGCTAAAAGTCCAAGTTCATGCTAAAAATTAATTTAGAGAGAAAGGGAGGTTTAACAGCATCTTTTCCTCTGCTGGACTAAGATTTCAAGGAGATGACTACACAGCCTGACATCAGTGAGGTGACATGACTGCATAGACAAGCTGATTTTGAAAGGGAAGAATCCAAGTTGGTGGGGATTATGTTTGAGGAATTTACCTGACAGATAGCATGAAAATATAAGTTGTGATCCCAATAATAAAGAGAAAGTAAATTGTTTTCTTTGTGATTTCAAACTGCATGTGTTCCTCTCTCTCAGCAACTTGTCAAGTAGAATAAGCACATGAAGTACTTCCACAAGAGCCACGAAGCATTCTTTCACGCCCTCAAGAATTTAGGGCAGAGCCCCAGATTATAACAACAATTACTTTAAAACCCCAGCTGGCAGCATGCTGCCAGCAAAAGAATATTCAAATCAGGATTATTTTCCTCCCTAAACATACATTTATTAATGACAAACACAAATCTTTACATGAGCTATTGATCAGAGCCTAGTGGTGTCTAAGGAAATTTATTCTAGATGCTTCCTTCTAGCTTTTACTTAGGACCACCTGAACAGTGGGAAATAAAAGAAACTGGCTACTTCTTACCTTAATGTTGCATGCCAGAGCTTTTCCATCATCCCCTTTAAGCATAAGCTTCATCCCTTGAAGGGACTCCATGGCTTTTATAAAGTCTGTTGACTCCTGGTACTGTATAAAGGCCTCAAATGTCTGCAAGCCGAAGCTAAAACCCCCAAAGCTTCCACCACTCATCACCTCTCTGTAGGGGTCAAGCATAGGGATATCCACATTCTTGATCTTCCCAAAACATTCAAAGACCACCCGAAGAATCTCTTCACATGGCTTCTCCCCACTGGAACCTTTAGGTGCAAACCACTTGCAGGGCAAGCCTTGGAAATGTATGGAATGTGGGCTCTTATTGCAGTCTAGCTCATTGGCCCCATCACTTGATAAGGCCTCCTGTTTCTGGGGTAAGTGCTCCCACTCTCCCTGGGCATCTGTTGCCACTACTTTTAAGTCTGTTTTCAAACCATTTAGCTTGATGATCTTCCCATGTAATTTTGCCTTCAGGATCTGAACCAAACTTTGGGTTTCAGCTTCCCCCTCAAATCGGATAAAGTTCTTTGTACTCTTGGAGAGCCGAACTGTGGTGAACTGATCAGGGCAAATCAGGTTCTTCAGCTGGTCAAGAACTTCCCAGTTCGAGAAAGGCCTCATAGGTTCAGTACTCTCTGGGAGCAGCACATTGATCATCAGTTTTGCTATGGGCTTGAGGTAGAGGTGCTGAGCTGCACAGAGCTCTCTTGCCTCAGAGTTATCATATACCACTGTGACTGTCATCGTATCCTCAGGAAACCCTGGGGGGTGAAAAGGAACATTTTTAAACAAATGTAGCAAAACAGAAATTTGGACTTTGGTACTAGCATTTGCTGGACTTAGGTCAAATTGGGAAGAAAAAATATACTATAGGGAGACTTAAGACAATAGCTTAGCCCTGGCTGGTGTAGCTCAGTAGGTTGAGTGTCTTCCCACAAACCAAAAGGTTGCTGGTTAGATTCCCAGTCAGGGCACATGCCTGGGTTGCAGGCCAGGTCCCAGGTTGGGGGCACATGGGAGGCAATCAATCCATGTATTTCTCCCACATGGATGTTTCTCTCCTTCTTTCTCACTCCCTTCCCCTCTCCCTAAAAATAAATAAATAAATAAAATCTTTAAAAAGACAATACCTTATATTTGTTTAATGCGTTTTAGATGTTTCAAAGATTTTCCATATACTCTCTTGATTTCAACTCTAAAATAGAAATAATAGGATTTCAGGGAGGATAAAATAGGTGAGTACATGTGAAATTCTTAGGATAGTGCCTGGCAGACAGGAAGTTCTCAATATAAGATATGACTATTATTTATTCTACTTTATCTCATTTGATTCATGAAACAACCTGTGAGTAGGTACTTTCATGCCTATTTTACTGACAGGGAAAGTCAGATGTATTCAGGAATATTAAACGAGTTGCCCATACATTGAGAACCTAAGATTATATATCTCCAATCTAATACAGAATAGAACTCAAATGCAAAGTCCCATAAAACCTGCTGGAGTTGGCAGAGAAACAGAGTAAGGGTAAAACACATGAAGCACATTCTTGAACATGCACCCAGCTGATTGTTCTAACCCATGAACCTAATTTAGCAACCTTTGTCCAGGTTGGTTTCTAAGTCCTACGTGCACATACTGATTCTTACTTCTCCAGTCTACTGATTTTAACTAAATTGAACCTTTTCTAAAAAGTGTCAAAGTCAATTTGTTCTCTACTTTGGAACTAGAAAATCCCCCAAACATGAGTGCTTGCTGTCATTTCATATTAACAAAATCTTTTAAGCCATCCCAAGGTAAATAATATACACTAATACTGGGACTTAGGAATTTCTGCTTCTTTTCTTTTAAAGTATATTTTTACGGATTATGCTATCACAGTTGTCCCATTTTTTCTCCCCTTTATTCCCCTCCACCCTTCACCCTGCTCTCATCAGCATTCCCTCCCACCCCATAGTTCATGTCCATGGGTCATACATATAAGTTCTTTGGTTTCTCCATTCCCTATACTATTCTTAACCTCCCCCTGTCTATTTTGTACCTACCATTTATGCGTCTTATTCCTTGTACCTTTTCCCCCATTCTCCCCCTCCCCACCAATAACCATCCATGTGATCTCCATTTCTGTGATTCTGTTCCTGTTCTAGTTGTTTGCTTAGTTTGTTTTTAACTAAGTTAAGAAGGAGGTAGAGGTAGACACACTTCACCTCCTTGTGCAATTACAAAAGGAATTACAACTAAATCTCAAAACAAATAACACCCAGAACTGTCAGAAAATTGAACTGTATGGAAGTCCAACAACCAAGGATTTATTTATTTTTTAAAAGATTTTTAAAATTAAGATTTTATTTATTTATTTTTATAGAGGGAAAGGAGGGAGAAAGAGAGAGAGAAAGAAACATCAATGTGGGGTTGCTGGGAGCCGTGGCCTGCAACCCAGGCATGTGCCCTGACTGGGAATCAAACCTGCGATGCTTTGGTTCTCAGCCCACACTCAATCCACTGAGCTATGCCAGCCAGGACAACAACCAAGGATTTAAAGAAGCAACATTCATCCAGATGGGTAGGAGAGGTGGAAATGTGGAGACGGTGTGAAGAGATGAGGACACAGGTGTGGTGTGAAGATGTGGCTGCAGGAGCAGAAGGGACATGGGAAGTCCTACATTCATGTGTGGTCGATAAAAATTGGGAGGGATACCATGGGAGCAAGCAATCTCAGCCCCAGGTCAGACTACACAGCCCAGGGTTCTAGCACATGGAAGATAAATCCCCATAACTTCTGGCTTTAAAAACCAGTAGAGGTTGTTGGGGCAGCAGACAAAACTACTATATTTTCAGAAAACATCACTTAAAGGGCCAGCATGGCCTTAAAATGTATGCAAACCCATTCACTCTGGGATTCAACACCAGGGCAACAGCTGGAAGGTGCCAGTCACATAAAAGGAGTGAGTGAAGTGGCTGGAAACGGGGCAGGTGCTGGGCAAAACCTCAGAAGCCAGGTAGCTGCAAAGTCCCCTCTCTGAGCTGTCTTCCCCACAGAGCCACAAAGTAGTGAAGTGGGTTATCCCACCCTGGTGGTTACCTAAGGCTCTGCCCTACACAATTTACAGGTGCCTTTTCTACAATAGGCCATGCTACTAAGACAGGGAGTCAAAGCGGCTCTACTTAATACACAAAAATAAACACAGGGAGGCTGCCAAATTGAGAAGACAAAGAAATATGGCCCAAAAGAAAGAACAGATGAAAACTCTAGAAAAATAACTGAGTGAAACAGAGATAGCCAACCCATCAGATGCAGAGTTCAAAACACTGGTGATCAGGATGCTCAGAGAGCTCATCGAGTATGGCAAAAGTATAAGGAAAGAAACGGAGGCTACACTAAGTGAAATAAAGAAAAATCTATGGGGAGCCAACAGTGAAGGGAAGGAAGCCAGGATTCAAATCAACGATTTGGAACATAAAGAAGTAATAAACAGTCAACCACAACAGAATGAAGAAATAAGAGTTAAAAAAAAAAAAACAGGAGATAATAAGAAGCCTCTGGGACAACTCCAAAAGTGCCAACATCTGAATCACAGGGATGACAGAAGAAGAAGAGGAACAGCAAGAAATTGAATTTATTTGAAAAAATAATGAAATAAAATTTTCCTAATTTGACAAAGGAAATAGACATACACATCCAGGAAGCCTAAAGAGTCCCAAACAAGTTGGACCCAAGGAGGGCCTCAGCAAGACACATCATAATTAAAATGTCAAAGGTTAAAGATAAAGAGATAATCTAGAAAGCAGCAAGAGAAAAGCAAAGAGCTACAAAGGAGTTCCCATAAGACTATTAGCCAATTTCTCAAAAGAAATTTTGCAGGCTAGGAGGGACTGGAAAGAAGTATTCAAAGTGATGAAAAGGAAGGCCCTACAATGAAAATTACTCTACCCAGCAAAGCTATTGTTTAGAATGGAAGGGCAGATAAAGTGCTTCCCAGATAAGATCAAGTTAAAGGAGTTCATCATCACTAAGTCCTTGTTATATGAAATGTTAAAGGGACTTATCTAAGAAAAAGAAGGTGATCAATACTATGTCCAGTAAAATGACAACAAACTCACAACTATCAACTATTAAATACAAAAACAAAAACAAAGTAAGCAAACAACTAGAACAGGAACAGAATCACAGAAATGGAGATCTCACAAGGGTTACCAGTGGGGAGGGAGAGGGGAGAGAATGGGGGAAAAGGTACAGGGAATAAGAAGCATAAATGGTAGGTACAAAATAGACAGGGAGAGGTTAAGAATAGTATAGGGAATGGAGAAGCCAAAGAACTTATATGTATGACCCATGGACATGAACTAAGGGGTGGATTGCTGGAGGGAATGGGGGTACTGGGCAGAGGGGGGCAAAGGGGAAAAACTGGGACAACTGTAATAGTGTAATCAATGAAATATACTTAAAAATAAAATAAAGTTATGCTCAATATAAATTGATTTCATTTTGCCCTGGCTTGTGTGGCTCAATGTATTGAGCACCAGCCTGCAAACCGAAGAGATGCCAGATCAATTCCTGGTTAGGGAACCTGCCTGGGTGGCAGGCCAGGGCCCTGGTTGGAGGTGTGCAAAAGGCAGCTGATAGATGTCTCTCTCACACATGAATGTTTCTCTCCCTCTCTTTACCCCTCCCTAAAAAAGAAAAATAATTTTACAAAAAACTTCAATTTCTTACTCTACTTAAGATTAAATTCACAAAGACTACTGAAAATCAACTTTTTGAGATTAAATATATGCCTTATATCCTTCACAAGCTTGGCTTCTACACAATAGAACAAGTTTCTGTATTTTAGCCAGCTCTCTTGGCTTTCCTGAAGTGTATAAATGAAGTTCTTTTCAAATGTGTACAGAAATGAGTCAAATACCATTTTACAGTGTTTGACATACTACTGTATTTTTTTAAGATTTTGTTTTATTTATTTTTAGACAGAGGGGAAGGGAGGGAGAAAGAGAGGGAGAAAAATATCAATGTGTGGCTGCCTCTCATGCACCCCAAACTGGGGACCTGGCCTGCAACCCAGGCATGTGCCCTGACTGGGAATCGAACCAGTGACCCTTTGGTTCTCAGGCTGGTGCTCACTCAACTGAGCCACCCCAGCCAGGGCTACTACTGTATTTTTTTAACATTAAAAGTTTACTATCATTTCCATTTCACATGGAAGCAAAAATAAGTAGTAATTCTACAGCAAAGGTCACAACTTAATGACTACATGAAGAACAAGATGGTCTCAGTGGGCAAAAAATGCTGACAGAGACTGAGGGACATGTTGCATCTAAAGGAGGATTGCTCCTCAGCTCTAGCTGCAATGAGGGAAGGAGGGCCTAGTGTGGCCACATAGTCCTATTATTTCAGAGAAGATGGAGATAAGTGTCTTTGGGTGAAATTGGATTTTGAGATGTTAGCAATCAACACAATTTAAAAGCACTGTGAAGTGTGAATAAACATATCTGCAGGCCTCATTGGCTTGCCAGTCCATAACTTCGGCTTTATAATTTATGTTTTCACAGTCATTTCTCCAGTGAGAGGACTCTACACCTTGATTAGAAAATGTTATTTTCTGACTTTCCCAAGAGGACCAAATTGTTTTTAAAAACAAAAAAGCTGGCCTCCCTTAAAATCCTCAACTCAAATTCCTCATTGCCAACAGCAGCAACAACAAAATAAATATTTGTTCTGATATCTTCCCCAGTCGTTCATGGGCTTCAGATCATAAAATTAAATGTTCATCAATATTTCATCTTAAAATACTCTTCTAGAATAAAGAACTAATTTTCTCATTAAAAAAAAATTACTGAGGACCTAGTATGTACCAAGAAGTAAGCTTTTTACACATGCCGTGGCTTCAATACTACAGCAATGTCATTGGCAACTTCTGCCAGGTCACTAAACATCAACTTGACAGTACCTGATGTATAGTACCTGATGATCACAGTAGTGATAATTCCCATTGCAGTGCTTTTGCCTTAAGACCTCAGGCCCAAAACAAACGAAAAAATGAAGAAGAAGGTATGGGTGAGGGAGGTGGAAAGAAGTAGGAGAGAACAAAGAAGAAAAGAAGGAAGAAAGGGAAGGGGAGGGAGAAGATAGGGTAGATCTGTGGTTACTGATAGGGAAGGGTACCCATGGTATTTTTAGAGGGAAAAAATTTTGCATAATAATAATGTGTAATATGATCTTGCTCTTGTAAATGTAATGTAATAAATAAAAGCAATATAAAACACATGAGGGGGACCAAGGCTTTTCCACCCCAAAATGTGCCATTTGGGGTACTGATTTTAAGCTGGTTATTCAAAAATGAAAGAACCTTTGACCCTCCCCCACTTACCTGTCTATAGGAATGGAGATAGAAAATCATGCTTAAAGGAAGGGAGCATCACCTTAACATCATAATATAAACTAAATGTGGCAGACAGGGGGAATTCTAGCAAAGCTTGTTTGGTAGACTCTCCTCTGTGTACCGTTTCTGAGTGGCCCAGCAAGAATTTGTTTACCACATATTTGCTCTTTGTCTACCTGTAAATTGCCTACTTTTCCTTTGAAGTGCCATACCTCTGTTTTGCTCCCCTTCTTTGTCCAAAAAAGCATGTTAACCTCAACTGCCCAATGTGTCTTCTGGTCTCGTAGCTTATGAGGGCCCCCAATGTAAATCTGTAATTAAATTTGGATATTTTCTCCTGTTAATCTGTCTCATGTTAATTTCATTATTAACCCAGCTAGAAGAACTTAGAAAGTGGGAGGAAAATTATTTTTTAACCCCTGTACATGTGTGCACACATGCACACACAGATACCCCTCTACATGCAAAGTCTGGAAAGATGTTTCTGGAAGTATAGGAGAGGAATGGACTTTCCCATTTTACCTTGAACACATCTTGTTCAAGGTAAATGTGAATGTTTACAGTTCAAGGTGAATGTTTACAATAAACATGTTAATTTTGTATTAATTTCTTCTATTGAAAAGAGTTAACTCACATAATAGCAAACTATTAAAAGGAAGCAATTCACAACTGCTAGTATAGACTTGCACAAAAAAGGATCAAAACTGAGTAACACAATAGCAACTCCCTCAACCATTAGATATCTCCTCTATCTGCCATCATTGTAAATGCTGAGAGGAATCTGAACCCATACCCACAGATTGTGTGAATCACAACTGAACCCTGTGAGATTCTAATAGGATTTTCAATAACAAAAGAGCAGTTGGCCAGTTTAACACTAGATGCATGAAGATATTTTTAAGAGCTGCTTAATTGAAACACAATCGATATATGGTCACATAAAGTGTACATGTACCAAAAATGTACATTTTGATGAATTTTGACATATGTATACACACCTATGAAACCATCACCACAGTGAAGATAATGAAAATGCTCATCACCCCCAAAAGTTTTCCTCATGCCTCTTTGTAATCCTTCTCCCACTCTCAGCAACCACTGATCTGGCTGCAGAATGTCTAAGTCATAGTGATTTATCTTACAGTAAAAACAGACAGATGTTCCTGGAAACACTCAGTGACATCCAATACTCAACTTTAACATATGCTTTATTCTAAATAAGGATCCTTTCTCAACTCCAAGTTCCAGTGTGCTAATCCTTGAATGTAGTTAAAGCTGCATAGGGCCCTACTTTGCTCTTGAAAACAGATCTAAAAAGGTAGGTGCTCTTATCCCCACACAATCCCTGTCTTTAACCTCATTTAAACAAAATAAACATATTTTTAAATGATCTTTTTAAAATTAGCTATATTATTTAGTAGATACATATACCAAAAGAGGTGGAATCACTGACATCAAGTTATTATGCTATGACTTAAAACTGATCTCTTAGTACAACCTAATTAACCCTCTAAATTCCCTTTTAATATGTCTGTGCTTCAGTTGAGAAAAATGGGAGGATTTATTAAACATTTCCCCATCATTTTCACCAGTCATTGTCATATGCATTGATTATTCAACAAAGGTTTAAGATCCTAGTATAAACCAAGCCCTGATGGCAAAGAATGCCAAAAGCCAAAGTTACAGCCTCTGTATATTATCAAAAACTTAAATGTTATTTATTATTTTTAAAAATATTTTATTTATTCATTTTTGATAGAGGGGAAGGGAGGGAGAAAGAGAGGCAGAGAGACATCAACGTGTGGTTGCCTCTCGTGCACCCCCTACTTGGAGACCTGGCCCACAACCCAGGCACGTCCCCTGACTGGGAATTGAACAGGTGACCCTTTGGTTTGCAGGCTGGCACTCAATCCACTGAGCCACACCAGCCAGGGCCAAAAACTTAAATTTTAACTAAAAATGTTTAACTATTCCTCTGTTCTATTATGTTCTATGACCTCCCCAACCCCCTACCACCATATATACACATCTTTCTTCTCACCTGATTAAAACAACACTATTGAAATCGCTTATTCTTTAATATCTTTGCAGAGGCAAATGAAAGTTTCTCCAACCTTAAAAAATTATAGTTATTTAATAATGTTTACAGTGCGCATTCCAGCAGTATCTTGTGTACAAAGCTTTACGAAAACATTTCACTCAACATACTCCCCATGCCAGAACTTTTCTAACAGATTTTCAGGGAATATGTCTGCTTTCTCTAGTCATCTCTCTACCTCATCTTGTTTGCCTCTATACCTAGTAACAGAGCTGACTTCAATAACAGTAGAATAAGAGAAGAGAGAAAATGAAACAGTCTTGAGATGTTCTCATAAGCCTAAAATGGTTGTTTTAAGCTGAAGTAAAAATTCAACACATTCTGTAGAGTCTGCATCTAAGGTCACTCCAATATCTTCTTTCATTTCAGAAGATATTACAGAGATTCCTGATATATGTTTGTTTTTTACTATCAGAAATATAACTTTAAAACTTTAAAAATATTTGAGTTGTAAGTAAAATACCCACCATTCATTCTCTCTCCCTTTTTCTCACTTTCATAAATATGTGTTGTCAGAGTGCTAGCAAGGACATTTGAATAAGGCCCTTTTTAAAAAACAGTGAAAAACATAGGACCACCTGCACAACTCAAGATCATCTTTCAAAGTATTTCTTTGCTAACTTTCTTTTTCTCCAGGTCTTTGAACCTTAAAATTAGTCATTGTGTAAGCATTTAAGATGTACAAAATTATATCAACATATTTTTATAGTTAGTGGGGCAGTCAAGGTGTATTTGGGTCAAATCAACCTAGCCAGTTGTCAAATTTTTTGCTAGTACAGAACCCTAAGAAGTCTTGACCAAACAGAACTATTCTCTGGCTCTTCAGTTAACAGGTCTTGGATAAACATTCATGTGTTCCGACACACCATTAACCTGAAAACAATTTTAAAACTGAGGCTGACCATATACTCTGATCTTGAAAAAAATTGAAATCACATTATTAAAATGAGTGGCCCTCTCAGTATTGTGATAATATGATATAGTGGAGATAGGACCCACCATATGACTCATTTCCCTAATTAAGATGGTCCTAAAGGGCTTATTGGTGCACTGTGGGTTTTGGAAACAGAAAGCAAGGGACTTTTGGAGATCTGCAGCCATTTAGCAATGATGAATTTGTGACCATGAAATATGAGCATCTTAGTGAGAACAAACCTCTTCTACCACTGTTCAAAGAAAACCTGCTCTAAAGTAGCATATAGAATGGGAAATTTTGATCTTGAAATTCAGAAAACCAGAATCATGTTAATTCATCTCTGGGCAACTTTATTTTCAGTTTCACTTCCCTATTTTAAAAGATAATGCCAATGTTTCCTTTATTGATAATGTTTGTGAAAGTTAAGTGTTTCTGAGGCTAAGAAAAATAGCCCTGACTGGTGTGGCTCAGTGTATTGAGTGTGGGACTGCAAAGCAAAAGGTCTCCAGTTCAATTCCCAGTCAGGGCATATGCCTGAGTTGCTGGCCAGGACCCCAGTAAGGGGTGCGCGAGAGGCAACCACACATTGACATTTTTCTCCCTCTCTTTCTCTCTAGACCCTTCCCCTCTTTCTAAAAAATAAACAAAACCTTTAAAAATGCTTAAAAAATAAAGTAACCTAAAGAAAGGTGTTAGGCCTTTCTGTACAAATGCACTTACATAAGTTTGCTGGTGAGTATGGGAGTCACTCCATGATGGCAAGGGAGGAAGCAATTTTTTAAATATACACAGGGCAGTTGCAGACCTGGCTGACTAATCTTTTGGGGGTTTTTTGCCCTTTTGTTAGCACCAGGGGGACGTCTATTGTGGAATATGTCTCTTCAGACATTTCCAACCAGGAATATCAATTTATAACTTGGACTAATTTACTACAGTATTACTGAAGTAGACTCATTGTTTTCTCTTCTTCACATTAAAAACACAAAAGCTATCAGGGATTTAAAGGAATGTGGCTGACTATATTCCATACTTTTGCCTCAGTCACTCAAGAGTCAGAATACAATTTGTGGAAAATGCATATCATGAAGTCATCAGCGTTACTTCTGTTTTATCTTCCCAATCTGAAAATTACCAGCAAACTTCCTGCCCACAAGTTGCCACCTGCAGGGCAAAAGCAGCTATTACATGAGGCCATGCTTACCACTACTAAGAAGTTTCTGAGAGCAGTATTTCCCAAGCTTTTTAAAATCCCAAGGTAAACTTATTTGAATACAAGTCCTGCAGAATAGGATATTACCCAATACCTTATGGCAAAAATGTGGTCAAGGGAGGAAAGACTGGAGAAGTCACAATTCATGTCAACTCTTCATGGTGGACTGCTGTCATGGCATCTTGGCAAGAGAGCACTACTAGAGAAAAGAGTAACAAAGTCAAAAGTGGATTAAATGCAATAAATAAGAAAAAATAAAGAGAATGTAGAATGAAGAGTTAGGATATGTAGGTATGTGTGTATGATTTTTTTCTTTTCATTGATTCTAGAGGCAGGGGAGGGAGAGAAGAAGAGGGAGAGAAACATCGATGTGAGAAAGAAGCATCCATCAGTTGCTTTTTGTACATGCCCCTACGGGGGACTGAACCCACAACCCAGGCATGTGCTCTGACCTGGAATTGAACTGGTGACCCTTCGGTTTGCAGGACAATGTCCAACCAAGCTATACTGGCCAGGGTTGTGTATATGATTGAGGTTTTTTAAAAGATTTTACTTATTTATATCTAGAGAAGGGAAAGGAGGGAGAAAGAGAGGGAAACATCAATGTGTAGTTGTCACTCACTTGCCCCCCGCTGGGAACCTGGCCCGCAACCCAGGCATGTGCCCTGACTGGGAATTGAACTGATGATCCCTTGGTTTGTAGGCTGGCGCTCAGTCTACTGAACTATACCAGCCAAGGCTGTATATGATGTTTATGGACAGTATTTTGTAATTTTGTGTCACTTTTGGAAACAATAATCTTTTTATTTGTCAAACATCTTTTTCAATACTTGCCATGTGCAGGCAGGTACTGAGGAAGATCTGGGAATATTGGGAGTTAAAGGATGGTATATTCTCTTAAGATAAAGAAATACCAATACAATGTAATTATCCTGCTTAGAGGAATGCCTGTGATGAAGTTGGGACAAAACAGAGGTCCATCTAGAGGGGTCAAGGAAGCTTTTCTTACCAAGTTCTTGAGCTGAGGTTTGGAACATGATTTTGTTGAACTAGTGGTGAACGAATCAGTGTGTTTAAGGGCATGGGGAATATTGTGTTTCTGGATTCAGAATTGTAAGAAATAGCCTTTTAAAGTCAGAATTGGAAAACAGGATTAACCTGAAAAAGAGGATACATTACTGTGAAAATGTACTGGTTCCTACCTACTCAAAGCGTACTGTGTATGTAGCCTTTACTTGAAAGTTTATAGAAATAGTCTGTCTAGAGGTTGGTGTGTTCCATATAGTCCACTATAGACATCTAGAGCAATTATTTTCTTCCCTGATCTGAGCCAAAGGAGAACTCTCAATCAGTGCACCTCTAGCCCCAGGGACAGCTCTAGTATTGAAACAGAACTGAGGCACTGGTAGAGAATAACTTTGAAGATGAACAGGATAATGTCACTGATTTGGAATGTGAACTCCCATTATGGGTGTATAGTTGCATATCTCAGGACCACCTATTGGCAGTGTATCCTCAGTGTAGCAAGATGTGAGTAATTTCCATGTGTGTTAGCTTACAGATAATTTGAGGGTGGACTTGGGGAAAATCCAGGTATTTCTAAAAATGTTACTTCACTGGAGTTTGGAAGTATTGTATTGAAGAAGGACCTGTGAACTTTGTGCCATTTGTATCTCCAGCAGCACTCAAAGCACATTTTATTAACTTTCTCTTTGTTTTCTTCTCTGGTTTGAGTTTCTATCCTTGCCGTTGTTGCTACTTTCCCCTCTTCTTTCTGCACAGTACAGCCTTGTTTGCTGTGCCAGAAGTGGTGCAGTGGCACTCAGGGTTAAAAAGTTGTAATTCCCCTTTGCTTTGCTTTGTTTTGTTTTATATTCAGAGATTAAAATTCCTGTAAGTTCTAAGGTTACATTTATTTATTTATTTTTGTCCTCTACTGAAGGAGAATCAAATTCATTCTTCCTAGGAGGGGATTTTTATACATATAGATAGATATCGGCAGTTTATCCAAAAGATAATACAGGAAAAATCTTATTTAACAGGCCTGATGGTACAAGCCTTCTTAACTGACTAAAATTCTTTACAGAATAGAGTATATCTCTATGCTTTAAAATTTGTTCACATAAAGCAGATGTTCGGTGTACTTTGTATTTGTGAACAATAACGAGGTGCGGGTGGGAAGGAGAGTGCTTTCTACAAAAGGGTTGTTTCCTAGTTTCAAAGCTTTGTTGCTGGAGATGGTAAATAAATATTGTATTGTTTTGATGTGTTTAAAAAACAGTGGGTGAAGTGGTTTAAAAAATAAGACAACTGTATATTTATAATTTTTCTGTATGAACAGCATTGAGATTTATACAGTGTAGTTATAGATCATGATTTGGTTTTGCACCTGTTTGATAAATTCAGATATTGATATCATGAATACATTTCTCATTTTTCATGACTGTAACAAATTTCTGTAGAAATTCTATAGAGAGAGAATGCTGCAGAAACTCTGTAGAGTTACTTTATACTTGGCTAGATATTCCATCTTCATGGGAATTTGCATTTTCTGATTACTTTTTAAAGGTTTATTTTATTCTCATTCAAGAGAGAGGAGAAGGGGGAGAGAGAGAGAAATACCAACGCATGTGTTCCAAAAGGGGATTGAGCTCACAACCTGGGCATGTGCCCTGACTGGGAATTGAACCACCGACCCTTTCAGATACTGTGGGAGGATGCTCCAATCAACAGAGCCATGCTGACCAGGGCTCCAATTCTTTATTTTGAAAGAGCACTACTCTTTCCAAAAGAGTACCACTACTGCTCTATCCTAGTAAAAGAAAGGGTACCACTATGAAAATCTTTGTCCAGATTTAAAACAAAAACAAAAACAATTTCTAGCCCCTGTTGGGTGGCTTAGTTAGTTGGAGAATCACCTTGTGATTCACCAAAAGGTCATGAGGTTGTGATTCAATTCCCAGTTAGGACACATACTTAGGTTGCAGGTTCAATCCCAGGTCAGGATGCATACAGGAAAAAACTGATCGATATCTCTGTCTGTTTCTCTCTCCTCTTCCTTTCTCTCTAAAATCAATAAACATATCCCTGGGTGAAGATTAAATAATGATTTCCATGTCAACATATATTACCACGTTAAAGGGTAGGAATAAGTTCATATGGCTTATTACATATTATCAAATTATTCTCCTGAAGGATTCAGTCAACTTCTCACGGTATCAGCAGTATTAACATGCCCGATGCCCATGCAGCCCGTGCAGCCCTGCTGACATTGGATCACTATCATTTCTATTTCTGCTACTTTTATTCGTACATAATGGTAACTTAAAGTGACTTTAATTTGCACTTAATTTTCATATAGGGTGAAGTTCCAGACAACCATTACATTGATATTCAACTGCTTCTTCAACGTCACCGCAGAATGTTTCATTCACACCTCAACCTAACAAATGCAACAGAACTCTTGGAAGTCACCCAGTGATTCCCATCTCCCCAACAGACCCACCCACCCTCCACCCATGTGCTCGAGCTTAAAGCCAGTAGTTTTGCTCCCTTCCCCGAGTTTCAATCCTTCAGCAAGTCCATTTGACTCCACCTTTACAACACATTCCAAATCCACCTCCATCTTCACTGCTACTCTCTGGCTCTAAGCCACCATCATCTCTAACCTGGATTACTGCAACAGCTTCCCACACTACTCTTTCTTGTTCCATCCTTGCCCCCAGAGAATCCATGCTACACAACAGCTAAAATGCTTTTTTTTTTAAGCCTTAATTCAGATTGTGTCACTTCTCTGTTCAAAATCCTCCAGTGGCTTCCCACCATGCTTTGAACAAAATCTAAACTGCTTATCCTCAAAATGTGGTCCCCCACCCATCTCTTTCAACTCATTTTGCTCCCTACTGCCCTATTCTGTCCATCCCCGTCATACTGGCCTTTTTACTGTTCTTTAAAGGCATCACTCCTCAGGGCCTTTGCACTTGTGGTTCCTTCCAGCTGAAGCGCTCTCTCCTTCAAGATTTTCTCATGGCTGGTTCCTTCTCATGTTTCACACGTGGCCCAGAGAAGTCTTCCCTGAACACTCTCTTAAACAGCACTGCTTCCACCCTTGCCATGTTGTACGTTGTGGCATATCAGCCCATTTCACTTTCACCATAACAATGAAATGATCAAATTAACATGGGTACTGGTTAATGTCTTTTTATCTTTATCCTCTCTACCTCCAGCCTGCAAATTCCATCAGGGCAGGGACTGCATCTGCCTGGTTTACCGTTTTATCTTCAGAACCTAGAACATAGTAGTGAAAATAGTAATAAAGAACATAAAGATGAATTGTACAATGCCAATGCAGGCTTCTTTGTCCTTTCAGGCTCCTAGAGCTATCAACATTGATCAGTGGATTTGTAGATCAATCAGGTGTACATACTAAGCATCTACTCAGTGTAAGACTCTTCAGGGGGTACAATGATGAGTCACTCTCAAAGAACTGAGACCAGAAAGAGAAAGAAATTAAGACAATTAACTGGAATCTGAGGAAATAAATGGCGAATGCCATCAGAAGCATAGGATACTGTGAGCCATAGAAAATTGATAATGATTTTAACACTCCACATGAAAAGAGTACTGGAATTTTTGGGACTATGCTTCAGTAGTTTTCAATGTGCCAGTAGTGCTCCTTCAAGAGTCTGCGGACATGCACAAAGAGAGCTGGTTGTAATTGTCGCAATAACTGGTGTAGGGGGGTATTGCTGCCATTTGGTGGGCAGATGGCCAGAGATGCTAAATGACCTATATCACAGGTCACATCTGCATGATGAAGAACTCCACCCCAAAGACCAATACAGAAATTCCTTTTCCCTGTCCATCTAGAACATATGGAGAAACTTCCAGATTAACCTTTTTTAACAGGCTACTTTTTAGGTAGTCATTTCTAAGTTGTTTTCTTTCTCTGAACTGTTACCATTTTGACCCATATACTATACACACCAAGTATTCAGCAGAAAGCAAAACTGAGTCCAAATGAAGGTTAAAGGAGAACAGCAAAGCTTGCCAGAGAGCCTCTTTGGGACCCAAGCACAGCAGGCTTCAAAACCCCAGCACAGAGGACAGGTACTACTTATGGATAATGCTCAGTCCTTGGCCATCAGCCCTTCCCAAGTGATATCCACAGCATCTTGTGCAAAGATTATTCACATTTCAGAGTCAGTTCTACCACATTTCCAACAATTCCCTAATTACAAAGTAAGACAAGAAGCTAATCCTGAATTAGAATCCTTGCAAGTGGGGCCTTGTTTCCCTAGAGTAGGGGTCTGGAGCCTACAGGGTCAGGTAGGTCTCAAGACTGTGGGGCCATGACCTTAGCTCAGACACTAACTAAATAGGGTCAATAGTACACAGCTCTACTTTCCTCAGGTGAAATACAAACCAGGCCTTCTGGCACTTCAAGAGAAGGTGGAAATCCTGATTTTTTAAAACGAGTGTCTTTTGGTTTTTCAATGTTGACCCCTAATTGAATGTCTTTTTAAAACACTGTGCAGGCTGAAGCACACTCATCCAAGGCTGAACTTGATTCAGGGCCCCTCCCACCTCTTTTATGAAACCTTCTCTGCAACAGTAAATAGCAAAATGCTTTCGAGTTCAAGAGCTGATGTCAAGCAGATCTAGTCTAGGTTCAAGTCCCACCTCTGCCATTGACTAGCAAGGTGATTTATCTAACTTCTTTGAGCTTCAGAAGATGATAATAGGGCCTACCTTATACAATTTTTGAGGATTTAAGGGAAATGATGCAAGTAAAGTACTTAATCCCCAATAAGTGTTCAATTAATGTGAGCTTTGTTATTACTCCGGTTGAGTTTTCTTTCCTCCTGTAAGTGGGTCAGCCCTTTACTGTCTTTTCTGAGCAAAGCATGACTGGATTCCATGCAGTCCATGTTTGCTCAGACTGGGCCCCAGGCAGTAGTCTACATCAGCCCCCAGCTTGGCTTTAAAGCTTCTTAAAGTTCCAGGAGCACGTTGGATATAACATAGTACTCATATAGACCCAAGTGGACACTAAATCAGAGTTGCACACATACCACCACCCTGCCTCTGAAACAACTCAGCAAAAGTCCCTCTTCCTAGCAAAGGCAGGAATGCATGCTGGGAAGATAAACATGTGGCAAATGTCTGTGGCAAAGAGCTACTTCAGCATTTGAAGGGAATCTCTTTCTCTCTCTCCCTCCCTCCCTCCCACACACCACCACCACCACCACCACCACCATTATCTCCACATTTCCAAACCTCTGTGACTCACCTTTCCTTCTGATGCTGGAAATGACACATGAAACCAGTAAAAGGTCACTCTCTTCACACAAGTGTATGATAGGGAATGCAGATAAATGGGCCAGCTGCAGGTGTGATCTTTGGCTTGGACTATATGGAAAGTGCATGACCCACCAGAGCTAAGATGGACTCTGCTGGCACAGTCCCCCAAATGTTAACTCCACCTCAAGTCAGCCCCACCCATCATCTGATAGGCACAGCTGGGATCCTTTGGGCACCAGTGCCAGCATCCCTATTCCCCTTGTCACGTCTTCTCTGTGCTTAACAACAATCAGAGTAAAAATACCTTCATGCAAGTTACTCCCTGCTTCAAGTTACCCCATGTTTTGAGTGATTCCCTCCCTCCCAAACAAAGCACAGGAAAAAAGTGTGACTACTGGAATGCCTTATTCTTTTAAAAGCAAACAAAAAAAAAAGAAATTGAGAGGGCCAACTATGTTGTCCTATGGAGTGGTTTTCTCTACCTGCTGTGCTGTATAAATTTACACAGTGTCAACAGCATAAAATTACAAAGTTAGATCAGAGGTAGTCAGGAAAACAGTACAAAATGAACATGATAGTTGAGACCTCATTCCCAATCTGAAAAAGAAAGAGAAAATGAAAAGGCCCAAAGGGTAACCAGTCTCTCATGCTAGAACCCGGTCTTCCAATACACGTCACTTCTTGGAATTAGCAGCATTGCAAAGTTCTCCCGTAGTTGTGGGCTTTAAATAAAACTGCAAAAAGCAGTAGCCCAAATGTAAAGAAGATGCGTGCCCCAAGTACTCCACGATTCCTCCGCTTGCAGGGATGGCAGTTTCTCCTACAGTGTGGGCCTCTCCAACTTGCTTCTTCCCCTAGCTCCACTGCCCACCCGCAACCCAGGTCAGGACCCCAGGTCGTGGGTGAAACGTGCTCCCTTAATCAGATGGGAAAAGGTCTGATTGCACCTGTACAGGAAACCTCAAGCTGAGACTCTTGACACGTTGCTGTAGTCAAGGTCCCCCTAGCAGAGCGCATCCCCCCACCCCCATCTCTGGCTTGTGGATCAAACCGGAGAGGGCACCTTCAGTTCCCACAAAGGGCATACCACTGCCAGTGTACCCCAGGTGGGTGCCCTGAGTGACCTCGGCTAGAGCAGCAGCCTAAGCACCCCCTAGTACAGCACCAGGGCCAGAGGAGGTGAGGCAAGGTCTAGGGTGAAGGGAGAGGACCAGGGAAAGAGCCTGGCCACATCTCTGGAGAACCTGACTCTGCAGGGGCAGGCAGGGTAGCCCGGGTCTCCTGCGCATCTCCTTCCTAATCCCCACCGAAAGGTCTAGGATAGCCCTGTCTGCAAGGCCCCACAGCTCCGGTAGGCCAGGGTGGCCGGCCGGAGCGGGAAGTGGCCGCTTTCTCTGCAAGCAGAGCTGAAGGCATTTACCGGGAGCCTCAGAAGCCACTGCGTCTCCGCTCAGGTTGCCACTGGGGTAGCAGGTTTGCCGCCGCCCCTTTCCGGTCACCGCAGTTGCACCGGCAATGCTCCCCGCTGCTCGATGAGACTGTGGCCAGTGAGGCGAGCTGTTGAATGACACAAACGTTTCCGTTGCATCCAAGTCAGCAACGCAAGCGCGCACCCTGGTGCCAACGCCCTGTGCACCCCTCACCCAGCTGAGGGCCCGCACAGGCTGCTCCCCCTCGCTGCCAACCTTCAACTTGCTCTAAGAACCAATGGCAACAATGGACTAGTCCCGCCCCTTCGATTTCCCAAGGGGCCAATCGCCTTCTCCAGAGACACCATTCAAGTAGCCCCGCCCCCATCGTGCAGCAAAGCCGGAGCCAAAGTTTATCCTACTGCGTGGTTGCTCCTGGTGATGGCCAGAGTTTGTCTGGGCTCCTCCCATCCCTAACCCTAGCAGAAAGTAACAGTCATTCAGAGGCTGCAACATACCTAGCCCGTGGACCTCCACACGACCTATTACCTTTGTTGTTGTTTTTTAAAGATTTTATTTATTTATTTTTAGAGAGGGAAGGGAGGGGGGAGAGAGAGAGAAACATCAATGTGTGGTTGCTGGGGGTTCTGGCCTGCAACCCAGGAATGTACCCTGGCTGGGAATCGAACCTGGGACACTTTGGTTCCCAGCCCGCGCTCAATCCACTGAGCTATGCCAGCCAGGGCGACCTATTACCTTTGAATAAATGAATATAAAAAAGCAGAGCCCTGGTGTAACTCAGTGGATTGAGCTTGGGCCTGCGAACCAAAGGGTCTCCCTTCGATTCCCAGCCGGATGCGCGAGAGGCAACCACACAATGATGTTTCTCTCCCTCTCTCCTTCCCTTCCCCTCTCTCTAAAAATAAATAAATAAAATCTTTCTTTTTTTAAAGAAAGCTAACAGAGAGGTACTGTTGTTCACCTCATCCCTGAGGCAGGATGGTTGAGAAATGTGTTGCTCCAAAGACATGGGTTCAAGTTTCTTCTTTGAGTTTACAACCAGAAAATGAAAGGTGGAAAATTAGTCTATCCTACCCCCTCCCCAGGCTCCCAACCCCAGGGCAAAGGCCCTCTGTACAGAGCATACAGGACTGGCACTTCCCTTGTCTAGACACTAGACTTTTCTACTTGAGCTCCTTAAGATGACATTTGCTTTCTTGACTACCATATCATGTGGCTGACACAGATTTACTGTCAACTCACCTCTGGGCTTTTTCTCACCACTGCTGCTATCACAGGGCTGTTTTTTACTTGGTTAGTGGCAAATGTCATTGGGTTTTATCTGTATGAGGGGTGTTAATTTCACTCTCTTCTGTCAAGGTGGTAGCTTTTGCCTTCCAGCACCTTTTTGCCCCTCATTCTGTCCTAAATATCTTTCCATCTCTGCTTGCTACCACTGCCTTGCTCAGGTCCTCATCTTGTTTGTACCCTCCTGGCTGGCTTCCCAATGCTCCTCTCCTCATCCATGTTACATCAGAAGTCAGAGTCATCTCTAAAACACAAATATAATCATTTCATCATGCTCCAACTAAAGAGCCAACCCCAGCTTCCAAGCCTTTTCTATTCATCCCTTCTTTCATCCCTTCCTCCTTTGCTTTCAGGATAAGATCCCAAACCCATGGCATGGAATATAAAACTCTTCGTGATCTGGTTTCACCTGCTCAGCCTCATTTCTAGCTGTTACACATCCACCACAGTCCACTCTATTCTTCAGGTCAGCTAATGTTCCTGTTGTTTCTCAAATGAGCCATGGTCTCCCACACTTCTAAGCCTTTGAAATGATGGAGTAAGCTGCTCCTTACCCTCCTAGTCCTGACCTACAACAGTCATGTATTTTATTTAGTCATTGAACACATCTAACTTAACACCCACTATGCATCAAGTACTGGAGGTATAAAAATGTGATTTTTAAATTTTTGATTTGGTCCTTTCATCCAAGTAGAGTGTAATAATTCTGCTTCCATTCCCATTGCCACAGAGATATCAGGCAGCCAATTGGAATGATCAGTTTGGACATCAGATTCATCCAAATAACTAAAGAATTGGGGGAACTGACACTGGAATTTTCTTCCTTGTCAGGTGAAGAGAAGCAGAGTTTGCCACCCCAAAATATGCCTTTTTAGCATACTGATTATTTTAATCTGGTTATTTTAAGAAACAAAAGACTCCAGAAGAGCCTTTTACCTCACACTTATCTGCCTAAAGAAATTCAGATAGAAAAACCTACTTAAAGGAAGGGAATTATCATGTAAGCATAATATAAACTAAGTGTGGCAGACACATGAGGGAATCTACAAACAAAGTTTGTCCCACTGTTTCTGGATTCTGGGCAAGAATGTTTACCAAATGATTGCTCCTTCTCATGTACCTATGAATTGCCTGCTTTCCCTTCGAAGTCCCAAACCCCTGCATCTTCTTTAGTCCGGAATGGCATATAAGCCTCAACTGCCTGTTTTGTCCTGGGGTCCCTTATTGTTAGGAAAGCCACATATGTACATATGTAATAAATTTGATTATTCTCTTATGCTAATCTGCCTCAAATTAATTTAATTATTATAGCAGCCAAAGAAACTTAGAAAGGTAGAAGGAAAATTAATGTTTTCTCTTCTGTACAAGTATCATTAAATAATATTCAGACCCATTCCATCAAGTTTGGCTATTTGAAGGCTAAAAGTTATGACTATTTTCCTTCACATTTACTTTAAGTTATTAAAACCCAACTTGTCAAAGTGTTCTGCATATGTGAGAGTACGTCCTTATTTTGTGAGTGTGTTAGGTTCTCTTTCCTTTTTACTTTTCTTTTTAAGATCAGGATAAATCAAACCAACACATTGTACACCTCAAACTTACATAGTGTTATATGTCAATTATATCTCAACAAAAATATATTATAAACAATAAGATCAGGATAGAAATTTGTAGCATATTACGGCATTTATAGTTCTGGGATCTGAAGAGAAAACACATGAACAGAACTGTATGTGTTCATGCAATTGGAATGACACGATGACAGGACTTCATTGTTAAAAGGGATTTAAGGTTTATTTAATGAAACCCTACCCCAAATGCTTAGAACTACTGTATGGGAAGTTTTTCAGGCTCTTCACAATGTTTTTAGCTCACTGGTCTCTGAAAGAAGACTTTGTTCTTACTGTTAAGATATATAGCTCTACATGGCTAAGTGATTTAAGGGGTAGCCAGAATGAGTCTTTGCCCATTTTTTGAAATTATGTTTTATTGTTGTTCAGATACATTTGTCTCCATTTCCCCCCACCACTCCTTCCCAACCCAGCCATCCCTACATTTTCTTTCCTCTAGGGTTAAATGTGTCTTTAGGATCTCCTCTTTCAAAATGAAAATGCATGAAACATAGGCAGTAAACTCTTTGACATCTCTCTTAGCAATATTATTTTGTATATGTCTCCTTAGGCAATGGGAAAAAAAAAGAAAAAAAATGGGACTACATCAAACTAAAAAGTTTTTGCACATCAAAGGAAACCATCAACAATGAAAAGATACCCTTCCAATTGCGGGAAAATATTCACCAATGATACATCTAATAAGGGGTTAATATCCAAACTATAGGAAAAACTCATACAACTGAACACCAAAAAAACCCAAAAGCAATCCAATTTAAAAATGAGCAGAGCGCCTGAATAGACATTTCTCCAAAGAGAATATGCAGATGGCCAATAGACATATAAAAAAATACTCTACATCACTAATCATCAGAGAAATGCAAATTAAAACCACAATGAGATACCATCTCATGCCCGTCAGAATGGTTACCATCAATATATCAACAAACAGCAAGTGTTGGAGAGGATGTGGGGAAAAGGAAACCCTCATGCACTGTTGGTGGGAATGCAGACTGGTGCAGCCACTGTGGAAAACAGTATGGAATTTCCTCAAAAACTTAAAAATGAAACTGCCTTATGACCTAGCAATTCCACTTTTGGGAATATACCTAAAGAAACTCAAAACACTGATTTGAAAGAATATATGCACCTCCATGTTTATTGCAGCATTATTTACAATAGCCAAGATTTGGATGCAGCCCCAGTGTCCATCAGTAGATGAGTGGATAAAATGCTGTGGTCCATTTACACAATGGAATATTACTCAGCCATAAAAAGAAGAAAATTGTACCTTTTGTGACAGCATGGATGGATCTGGAGAGTATTATACTAACTGAAATAAGCCAGTCAGAGAAAGACAAATATTGTACCATATGATTTCACTTGTATGTGGAATCTAATGAACAAAATAAACAAAGAAAATAGAAACAGGCTCATAGATACAAAAAAAAAGTGATAGCTGTCAGAGGAGAGGAGCATTGGGAGGATTAAGAAAAAAAAAACCCAGCTCATAGACACAGACAACAGTATGGTGATAACCAGAGGGAAAGGAAAGTGGGGGTAGGTGGAAGAGGGTAAAGGGGAGGTAAGTGGTGACAGAAGGAGACTTGACTTTGGATTGTGAACACAGAATACAATTTATAGATGATGCATTACAGAATTGTATACTTGAACCTATATATTTTATTAAACAATATCACTCAAATAAATTCACCAAAAAAAATTAAAACCATGATGATATATCACTTCACACCTGTTAGAATGGCTATTATCAATAAATCAACAAACTACAAGTGTTGGTGAGGATGTGGAGAAAACAGAACCCTTGTGCACTGTTGGTGGGATTGTAAATTGCAGCCACTGTTGAAAACAGAATAAAAGTTCCTCAAAAACAACAACAACAACAAAAAAAAAACAATACACTTCCAGCCAAGATATAGGCATAGGTAGACACACTGTGCCTCCTCGCACAACCAAAAGAAGGACATTAACAAATTTAAAAACAAAAAACAACCAGAACTGACAGAAAATTGAGCTGTATGGAAGTCTGACAACCAAAGAATTAAAGAAGGAACATTCATCCAGACTGGTAGGAGAGGCAGAGATAGGCAACTGGGTGGAGAGGACTCGTGCCAAGGTGGCGGCTGGCGGATGGGCAAGGCGGTGGCTTGCAGACTGGGAGGTCCCACATTTGCATGCAGATAAACTGGTAGGAACTACTGAGGAGCAAGAGAGACCACACAATCCAGGGTTCCAGCGTGGGGGAAATAAAGTTTCGAAACCTCTGACTGAAAACACCTGTGGGGGTTGAAGCGGCAGT